CTCCTCTAAATGACATGTCTTTCTCATGTCCTCATTTAGTTTCATTGCATGAAGTCTGCTCATGGTAATGGCGCCCGAGAGTATCTGTCATATTTGCCTTCAAAGATCGGTGCAACAAGCGGGCCGCAGCACTGACATCAATCCTTCACGCAGAGATGTTCAGTTCCCTGTGCACACCAGATCTGAGTTTCACCCGTGCTCAAATCCATCTTTTCGAGCGAGATAAGCGTGCTCTGGCTTTGCCTGAATTCCCTGTTGTTTATGCAGCTTTTGCCAAAGCATGTGACTACTACGCTTAATCTCAGAATATCTGGCAACACAGCTCTCTTTGCATGGAGCATGAGGAAGAAGAGAACCAAATGCTAGCTCAGCTGTTCCTCTCTCTCCTTTACACATTAGTTGTAAGATAAGTATTGGAGGTACTGTAACACACACACACAGAATCTCCTTCTACTCCCCACTCACCGTGTCCCTGTCATACTCTTTTGGCCGCGATAAAGAGCAGCTACACTCACAGCCGCCATCAGCTGCCTGCCAAAGTGTTTAATCTCTCTGCAATTTCCCACCACCCTGTTTTCCCACTGATCCATCCTACGTGCTGTGAGTAGGGGATTCTAGGACGCTTTAGGGGTTAGAAAAAAATGGCCGGAGAGAAAGAGGTGTGGGTGAATCTCATGAAGCCTGTCCAGAACATGACGGGTGATATTTCACCCCAAATCAAAAGAAGAAATGGGGGGAAAACACTGTTTTTAGTTTAAATAAAATAAAAACTATTATTTTAGGAACCATTAAGATTGTGTGGTTTGTGACATTGTGTTCAGGACAGTTAAGCACATTTTATTTGCTGTTCTCAGTAATGTAGTGCAAAAAATCTCATTGTTGTTTTACAAGCTTGCATTAGGGAATTTGAATTGACAGTCAAACATGTATATGTGTGTATTTATATATTTTTTAAATATTCATATTTATATATACAAAATGGGCTTCCATGACCCCGACATGTTTTAATGATATTCACCCTTATACCATGGCATCTGTCTTCAAGTGACCTTGCGTGACCTCTACCATCTTCTGCTTAGCAGCTTAGGAGGGTTTCCAGGTTGTGATTATTCTGACTTAGAAAACTTATTTTCTAATTATAGCTCGAGCAGTAAGCAGTGTTTTCATGGCAGATGTTCTGTACTGATTCAGTGCAGCCTCTGCGTCTGTGAATCACATAATCTACCCCTTAATTGAAGGAGAATGTTGTTTACATAAACACTCGAGCAGCGATGGCCGCTGCTGATGGTTAAAATACAGCTTCGGCATGAATACATTCTTCTAATCAGAGCAGAAGTCACGCGGCGAGGCGGCTGTGGTTATTATTGTTTGAAAGAAGGCTGGTGCTTTGTTTACATCTGGTGTTACAAAGACTGGAAGCTGGCCAGACCCTCCTCTACCCCTCACTGTCTTTCTGAGCTGTGAATAATAGATAAAGCCACGGCGATGATTGGCACCACATCTCAATCGCATGGAGGAATGAAAGAGTGCCGCTCCAGCTAGTTAATACGCACCTCGCATCACAGCGAGAGCAGGACCTCAGCGACAACTCGCCATTCGGCCCTCATTTCCAATTCAAAAGTGGCCATTTTGCATTCACATTAACAACAGGAGCATCTAAATGGAGAAATGAAAAGTGTGTCTGACTACAGGTGCATAAACAGTCTGACTGAACAAATCACAAACTAACTGCATGATTTTCTCTTGTAGTGTCATTGATTTTTTACTGATCTTTTGAATCTTTGATTCAGTGATCTACATCATCCGACATAAATGGTTATTATTTGACTAAATGAATCACTTTCAATGAACCTAATTTATGTCAAAAGGTTTTTTTTTTTAATGTTTTGGAAAGAAGTCTCTTATGCTCACCAGTCACCAAGGCTAGATTTATTTGATCAAAAATAGTTGAAATAGTAAAAATTATTACAAATCAATACAACAGTTTTCTATTTTAATATATTTTAAAATGGCAAAATATATTTTGATGACAAAGCTGAATCAGCAGCCATTACTCCAGTCTTCAGTGTCACATGGTCCTTCAGAATCATTCTAATATTCTGATTTTGTGTTCAATTGTTATCAATTATTATTGGTACTCAGTTATTAATTGTATTTTTATCAATGTTGAAAATGTTTTTTGCTGCATGGTTTTTATGGCATGAATTGGCCACAAAAATTTTGGTTTTAACATTGGTAATAATGAGAATTGTGTATTTCTTTTAATTTAATTTAATTTCATAAATGCAGCCGTAGTCAGCATGAGAGACTTCTTTCAAAAACATTTTTAAAAATCTTAATTATTCCAAACTTTTGACCGGGTGTGTGTGTGTGTGTGTGCGTGTGTGTGTGCATGTGTCTATATATTGGATGCAAAGCTACTAATACAATAAAAATAAAGCATCAATACACAAGTTTTAGCTAAAATTGTATTGTTTAAAAATAGTACTTTTAGTTGGATTAAAGTATTTTTGTATGAAATATTGGTTACACTTTATTTTAAGGTGTCCTTGTTACAGTGTAATTATACATATAATACTGAGTAATATTAACTACATGTACTTATTATATGGTTAGAGTTAGGATTTGGGTTTGGCTTAGGGTTACTTGCATGTAATTATGCATAATTAATTGTTTTTATAATAGTAAGTACATGTAACGTGTAACACGGGACACTTTAAATAAAGTGTTACCGAAATATTTATAGTCAACATCCCTCTCACTTTTTAATTGTAAAGTTAATCGCTGTACATTCAGGGATTGCCTACGAGGTGACTGTTTTGGTGGATGAGTATTCTGTGTTTTTGAGCTGGTTGAGTTGGACTTTCGTGTAAAGTCTGGCCGCCTGGCTTCAGTTTTCTGCTTGACTTACTGCTGTGTGTTGTCTAACTAACTAGTACTTGTTTTTGTTGGGCTTTCTTAACCGTGTAATCTTGCCGGCCGGTGTTTGTCTTCTGGCTGATTGCACATATTATGTAATGGTGAGCTGGTTTGAGAGAGAGAGACAGAGAGAGGGAGGGAACCGCACCTGGGGTCTGCCATCAGCATGCAGTCAGAGAGGTGCTGGAGGCTCCTTTGTGAGCTGTTTATTTAGACAGGTGTCTAAATGACATGCCCACACACACACACACACACACACCTCTGCAGGAAGATAGAATAATTTCAAGGTTTTTTTTCAACTGATTATAAAGCAGTATATAATACGTAATCATTTTTGACATGTGGGATCAATATCTCGCTCATAATGCTTTTTCCTTAACTTTTATGTAAGCAGTAGCCATATGTTTATGAAATTATCACATTGAGCGTTGGTGCTTATGCAGGAAACATAGCTTTAAATCTACAATTAAATTGGAGTAAAATGTTTCTGAATTATAAATAATAATTTTTTTTAAATATTAGAAAATGTTATTTATGTATGTATATACAGTATATATATATATATATATATAGAGAGAGAGAGAGAGAGAGAGAGAGAGAGAGAGAGAGTTTTACAAATATTTTTTGTCATATTATTTCTATTTTTGATTTATCACCAGTAGGTGGCGCAGTTTTGAAGCTTTATAGGGACCCCCTTTTTTATGGTCCATAGGTCACCTGCCAAACTAGAATTTGAAAGCCCATCCAAACTTTCAGCACCCCTGCATTTTTACTGTTTATTTCTTTCCTTTTTTTTTTCTTTTCAATAAAAATTTGTTACAGATACCAGTAAGTGTGTAGCACTCCCCTTGTACCACGTTTAAATCCATTCCACAGTTTTCTCAAAAAATAATTCAGAAATGTGAAAAAGTCTGCAGATTCAATCTGACTCTTCATTACCTGGTTCTTTTACACATAACAGCACATGCTGTTTATCTGATTTCTCATGCTGGCAGCATTTCAGGATTGACCCCAAGATGATTGGCAGGATTCCTGGGAATGCTGTTTTGCTCTTTCAGGCTTTTTGTCTCAATTATGAGTCGAAATGGAAGGTGAAGGTGATTGACTGTTAGATCAAACAGTGAATTGGTCTTGACTCCAGTCATCTGCCTTTCTTTCTTTAGGTTCACTACATGTTTTAAAGCAAATCACTTTAAAGATTAGAAATTTGCCTTGAGCGAAGGAATTCAACTTTTTCTTCATCTTGTTCAGTAGTTTTAATCCAAAATGACTCTCTTGAATAATGCAGCATTTTTACAATTCCAGATAAATTTGGCAATATTTCAGTGTCCAGAAGGCAAATTTACTGCGCCATGTTGCCTTTTTCTGCTTAAGCTGCACAATGAAACCTCATGCATGTACTATATGCCCTTTCTGTCTGAATTACTTACACCATGTTATCACGTTCTTTTAATCATATGGTTTTTTTAAGAACTTTAGAGTACCATTTAAATATGAGTATATGTAATAATTTAGTGTCAGTATATTAGTACCATAGTTTTACCATCTTATACCATCATCGTACCATAAAAGCCCCGCAGTATGATTTTAAAGGTTGCAAATGTCACATATCTTATAAAATAATACAAGCTGTGAACAGAGATTTAGCCACAAAACTTGTGTATGATAAAAAAAACAGAAAGATAAAACAGAAGCCACCAGTGTTTCTTTAAAAAATGAAACAAAAAGACATTTACAGTCTAATAACCCATAAGAAAAATATTTTTTTTGTTTGTTTTTTTAAATGATAAGAGTTACTGTATGTGTCACAAAGCTCAGTCACATATTGCACTCACCAATAATCTGGGTCAAATTGTCACCCGTTGCCTCCATCTGTTGGCTTTTATGGATGCATGATGCCATAATAATAGACTGGCAAAGAAAAGTGCTTCTCATGAGGATCTAGTCATACACAAAATGTTTAGATGGAATCAATGAAGACAGGCCTTTAGCAGCACAAAAAAGTTTACAAGTTTACAAACACTGCTCTATGTGGTTTGAAGACTCAGTTCTGCATGTCTCCTGTGCTGTTTCCTCTCAAGACTAAAGAAGAAGTCCCAGTCGGAGGAATCCCGAGTCTGTCCTTAAACAGATCTTCACCACCTGTTGCCAAGACAACCACATCTGAGTTGCAAGAAAACAACACCACCAATTCCCAGCGCCGTGGTCTGCGGTGCAGCGATCTGAAACGAGGATACACAATAGGTAAATGAGCATCAGGCTGTCTTCAGTATGGCAAGCTCTGTGTGTGTGTGTGTGTGTGTGTGTGTGTGTGTGTGTTTCTCTATCTCATGAGTTTCAGTTGAGCTTTATCTCTGTATGTGCATGAAGATGTTCACTTTGTAGGAGTGCTTAGAAAGTTCTGACACCCTCCTTTCTGCCTCGTTCTCTTCTTGTTCTCTCCTCTTTCACCTCATTCCTTTTCAGTCTCACTTTGTCCTCTTCCTCTCCTAATACTCTGTCAACTCTCATCTCTTTCACTCCTTGTTCTCATCTCTGTATCCTCACTTTTCCTCTCCATCTCATATTTGTCTCCCCTTTTTCACCTTTTTCTCCTTGATCTCACATCATGCATGTCTCCATTCTCATGTATCTCCTCTCATTCTTCACTCTCTTCTTTCTCTCATCTCAGTCGGTTCCTTTTCTCTCCTGCCTCCTCGTTTCTCATCTAACTCAGCTTTCTCCTCTTTTTCGCCTAGATCTGACCTCTTTTACTCCTCTCTTTCTCCTCTTTTTCCCCTTTCTCTCCTTGCTGTCATATCTGTCTCTTCTCTTGTTCTTGTCTCCTCTTTGTCCTCTCTTCCTTATCTCTCTCTCTTTCTCCTCTGTTCTCCTAGATTTCAGTTCTTTGTCTCCTTTGTTTTTCCTGTTATTCCCGATCATCTTTTTTTGCTCTCACCCGTCTCATCTCTTTCTCCTCTCTCTCTCTCTGTGTGCTCTCATACTGTATCTGTCTCTTCTCTCGTTCCTGTCTCATCTATCTCATCTCTTTCTCCTCGTTTTCATCTAGATATCATCTCTTTTTGCTTTCATCAATCTCATCTCTTGTCTCCTTTTCTCATCTACAAAGTTTCTCTTTCTTGTTCCCCACTCTTACTCTCCTTGCTCTCATGTGTCTCTTCTCGTTCTTCTCTCATTCTCTTCTATCTATTTCTTCCCTGTCTCGTCTTTCTCATTTTCACCTCAATCTGTCCTGCTTTTCATATCTGTCTCCATTCTTTCTCTTGTCTCTTTTTGCTCTCATCGCCATCTCCTTTCTTTCTCTCCTTGCTCTGGGTGTTTCCTCTTTCTCCTCTATTTCTTGTTTCTCATCTCTTTCTTCTCTATCCGTTCTCTGTCTCCTCTTTCTTTTCTGTTTCCAACAAACTTATATTACCATACTTAGAAGCTTTTCCTCAGTGTTTCTCCCAGTACACAGAGTAAATGCCTGATCTGTGGAATAAGTCCTATTGCTAGTGCGGGTCTGTGGGGTCTGAAGGGATTAAGGAGAGGTTAGAGACTTTAGAGAGAGCAGGAGATGGCTTTCCTTTCATCTCAGCCCGTTTGATTGTGCTGGTGATTTGACGGCACCGTTTAAGAGCCGACTAAAAGAAATGTTTCCCCAAATCAAGAGGGTCCTTCGATGGCACTCACAGAACACGGGTTAGCAAATAGACCTGCTTTGTGTTCGCTTCATTTACTCACTCTTGGGTAGCTGCTTTTTCAGATGTTAGTTAATAAAACAGATATAATTATATGGTTTTCTGATCTGTACAGCGCATGAATCCTACAAAACTATTAGTTGTGCTTGTATCTTTATTAGTATTTCTATATTTAATGGTAGGTATTTTAATAAATCTTTGTGGTATAGTTCAACCAGAAATGAAAATTACCCCATGATTTACTCGCCCTCAAACCATTCTAGGTGTATATGACTTTCTTCTTTCAGATGAATGCAATCGGAGTTTGAAAAATGTCCTGGCTCTTCCAAGCTTTATAATGGCAGTGAATGGTGGTTGAGATTTTGAAGCCTAAAAAACTGCATCTATCCATCATAAAAAAGTATTCCACACGGCTCTGGGGGGTTAATACAGGCCTTCCAAAGCGAAACGATATATGATGTAGAATATGGTCTTTAATCCTATCCAATACCTAAACTTAACATCTACCTACTAACTATTAATAAGCAGCAAATTAGGAGTTTATTGAGGCAAAAATCGTAGTTAATGGTTTGTTAATAGTGAGAATTGGACCTTAAAATAAAGTGTGACCGTCATTTTAATATTTTATTTTACTTAAAGTTTAAGTTTTTAAAATATTTATATTTTATTTTATTTCAATTCCCAAAAACAATTTTTAATACACATTGACAAGCAGATTGCTTTTTCTTTTCTAAGCATTTAGACTTGTAATTTTATCCTAGCGGCTGATAAAACAGGACAAATCCCGCTGAATTACATTGAAGAAAGGAAACAAATGGGTCTTGTATCAACCTAAAGAGGTTTATTTTGCTATAATGTTCTGTTGACTGTACATTACGCCCTGCTGCTTAAATAAATGAACATGAAATATTTATTTTATTAGCATTTCCCACTGGTTGCTCTTTAATTAATGTTATTGGTGATTTTGCTGTTCTCATTGTTTGACTTTCTCCTGTCTTTTAAAGGCCGTGCGGCCCGTGCCCTCAGGCAATCATTGCAAATCACAGCACAGTTTGCCTTCTCATAGTGCCTCTAATTGGTGGAGAGGACCACGGGAGAGAGAAGTGTTATTGATGGCCGCACGCTGAGCATCTTTTCATCCTGTGCCATTAAAACCGCACCACATATCCCGCTACATTTTAATAACCTGCCCTCATGTATCCCTCCAAATTATACTGTCATTTCTAGCTCGATGTGAGTGATGGTTAGAGTGTTTTAATGTTTTTAAATGAAAATGACCCTGACAGGCCATTCAGTCTCCTTAAATGAGAGTGGTTGTATAGCAGGCAAGTGTAAATGCCGCAATAATTGCTTTTGGCTGGCTGCAAATGGGTCAGGGAGAGCATGGTATAAATTCGTCCATGTGGACATAAGCCTGCAATAATGAAATAAGTGCAGATCTTGGGGTGATGTGGGAAATGTGCTTCAGGTAATCAGTGGAGAGGAGTCAGGTTCACAATGGTCCCATAAGGTCCTGTGTTCCCTTAATACCTAACTCACCTAATTCTTTTAACAAGATACTGGATAGTCTGTTATGTAAGCCTATATATTTATCCTGTAGTTCCTCAGAATGACACTATCTACCCCTTAGCGCTGGTCATGGTGGTATTATGTAAAAAGTTAAATGAAAGTGACATGACATGTGGCCAAGTATGGTGACCCATACTCAGAATTAGTGCTCTGCATTTATCCCATCCAAAGTGCACACACACAGCAGTGAACACACACACCCACACCTACAATCCCTGCCGGTACGAGACTCGAACTCGCAACCTTTCGGTTACAAGTCCGACTCTCTAACCATTAGGCCACAACTTCCCAAATGGAGATCAGGGAGGAATTATGTACAGCATTGCACGTTTGTATATGGCAAGTGATTACCAAAAACAAAAATGTGCATAAAGCATACTGTTAACCAGAAGCCAGTTTCAAAGTGGTCACATACACTACTATTCAAAATTTGGGGTCCGTAAGATTTTTTGTATTATATTTTGAAAGAAATTAATACTTTTATTCATCAAGGATGCATTCAATTGATTAAAAGTGACTGTAAAGACATTTATATTGTTACAAAATCTTTCTATTTCAAATAAATCCTGTTTGAACTTTCTGTTCATCAAAGAATCCTGAAAAAATTTATTATGGTTTCCACAAAAATGTGAAGCAGCACAACTATTTTGAACATTGATAATAAAAAGAAATGTTTCTTGAGTAGATCAGCATATTAGAATGATTTCTGAAGGATCATGTGACACTGAAGATTGGAGTAATGATGCTGAAAATTCAGCTTTACAATACTATATTGAATTAGAAAACAGTTGTTTTAAATTGTAATATTTCACAGTATTACTTTTTTAAATGTATCTTTAATCAAATAAATGCAGCCTTTGTGAGCATAAGAGATTTCAATAACGTTTTTTAAAAATCCCCACATTTGACCCCACACTTTTGAATGGTAGTGTATAGGCCTACTTTGCAAGATTCACTTGCGCTAAATAAATATTAATACAAATGTGAAAAACTAATTAAATGATACTTGCTAATTTCCAGAAACTATAAGTAACTGCAACAAAAAAACATACAAGTTTTAAGTAAGAACTGCAAAAATAAAAGTCTGACCTCACTGAGCGTCAAATTAAAGATTTCAAAAACAATTTCATATGCCATTCGAGGGGTTTACAGAGTTTTCCCTTTTGTTGATAAACATCAAATGTTTGATTTTAGACACATGGATTTTATAAACCTCTTCTTTGAGCTTTTCTAAATTCCCTTCCCTTCAGTCAATGTTTTATGTTAGCCTTCGGCTGTTAAATGTACATGTCTTCCTCCACATGTGAGCTAACACGCTGTCGCACTTAATACCTCTGTATTTCCGTTCTCATTAGGTGGCTGAGTATGATCTGCTGTCCATGTGTTAGGGTGAACTGTCAGACCGCACAAGACTGATCACACCGTTAATGGTTGTGGAAAGGTAGAATGTTTGTCCTGTTCCTCTGTCTCCTCTTTTCTCGAACACACTGCCTCATTATTCTGAAATGAATTCTGAAATGCTGACCTGTGGGGTCAGGAGAGATGCTGTAAGGGACGAAGATCTGTTGTACAGGGAAATAACAGACGACGGTGCAGCATGCTAACAAACAAATGTCATCCTGATGAAGAACGGTCAGGCTCGGTCAGGCTGGTGGGAACTGTGAGCTGGGCTTCTAATTACCAGTGAACAGACAGATATACTCGTCGTCTGCTGCCCTTACAGACCTCTTACAGTCGTCTACTGGGTATATATGCATTCACATATTCCAGAACTTGAAAAGAGCAGCAACACTGCAAGTGTATTTAAAGTTTTTTTTTAATGAATATAACTGAACTTCTTAAGAGATAATGATAGCCGA